CTCGGAGGCTTGTAACCGACCAGGAGGCAGCGTGATTGTGCCCAATTCAAGGGAGGAAAACCTCTTCATCTGGGAGTCATTGGTAAAAGGTACCGGTGGACTCTGGATTGGCTGTACGGATGCGGCTCAAGAGGGTGTCTGGCTGTGCGATGGTCAGCCTGCACACTACACCAACTGGCATCCGAGCTACCCAAGCAGAAGCAATAAACGTAACTGCGCCCGTATATCCACCTACGAAGGATGGCGTTGGGTCGATAAGACACTTTGCAATAGACAGCGATTTGCTGCCTGTGAGATGACACCCTCTTCGGTACCAGCCTACCACACCTTCACCGGTCCCGATGGGCGTGTCCCCCAGCGATGCCTCCTCCATCACGACATCAAGAATCTGACGGCACAGGGCTTGCTTGCCTGCGGCTGGGCGTGCCGGGCCGATCCCCGATGCCGCTCCTTCAATCTTTGGCAGAGCAGCAAGAAAGAAAAGATGTGTCAACTAAATGACGTCACTCGTCTTGTGGTTGATGGCAACGACTTCAAGGCAACTGACAACTGTTACTATTTTAATTTGTGAAAATATTTCACCGAAAGAACACTTGCCGTCAATGCTCGGACGAACGCTACTACTTTTGAAAATACACTGATACCTTATTACGCATTAGATTATATACGCTGCTTATTGATTTGAACTCACAAACATCGATGCCTTGTTTTAGAAGTAGCTGAGTTGAATGTTGAATTCTTAATCACAAAGTTGCCGTATTAGTGTTTGGTCACGGGATGCACTACATACAATCTGGATGCCAGTTAAAGTCGTCTGTTCATGTCATCTTCAATGGACACGAACAATGATTTTTTTTTTTACATTGTCATTAAAACTGACTTAACTTTAGATTTAGGTATACCAACAAGAGAATGAAAACAGTATAGTGTGAACAACGAATACAAATGTATTCTTCGTTATGTAAAAATAAAGACTTAAACATTGTGGTTTTCATGGTAGATCTGTCGTGGAAAATTATGAGTTCCTGATTAGTTGCAATAAAATATCAACAAGCTTTTAGTCTTCATGAAAGCGTTGGTGTTTTTACGAGTATTTGAATATCGTCAATATCTTACAACTGTCAACATCGTTACAGTCATTTTGTGTTACCACCGTCATTATAAATTTCACCGCCGCCTCGAAAAAAAAAACTTCATGGCGATAACAGGAGTTGAAAGTGAACATTTCTTCTGGCCTAATCATTCACACAATTACTTCAGGAGTGTATACTTCAGAGAAATGTACCGTACTCAAACTACAGTTGAGAGTTAAACTAGCTTTTAGTACCGTGGCTGAAGTATAACCTTTTTGCCCAGATTTAGTCGGTTTTATTAGACACACAAAAATAGTCCTGCTTCCAGTTATCCAACCTACCCTATTTCGCCAGCCCCTAATTTTCTTGGAGGGAAAATGAGGGGAAAAACTGAAAATCATCAAATACTACCTTTTACCCTACACAGGGTGAGTAAAAAAAGCGAAACCCAAATGTTGGGACCATTGTTTTAGAGAAGTTCTGTATGTAACATTTTCAAATTCTAGGATATAAAAATCCAATTCATAAGCTTTCTTTTAGTACAAGAATCATTCAAATCACTTATGTACTTTTTAAGTTACGGAATTTTAAACACAACCACCGTTTTAAGGTTCTGTCCACGGATCGCAAAAAAGGTCAGTGTTCTTTCAGCAAAACGAAAACAAATCACATAGGGATGTGTGTGAATTGTTTTCGTTTTGCTGAAAGAGCGCACACCTTTTTGGTGATCCTTGGACAGAACCTAAAAAGGTGGTTGTGTTTAAAATTCCGTAACTTGAAAAGTGCATGAGTGATTTAAATGATTCTTGTACTAAAAGAAAGCTCATGCATTGGGCTTTTATATACTAGATTTTGAAAGTGCTACATGCAGAACTTCAATAAAACAATAGTCCCGACATTAGTCCCTACTATTTTCAAATGCCATGTAAACGGAAGCAGAACAGTTGTTTGGCTTTTAAACGTCCTATATACGAAGCTAATTATTAGGTTATCCTTGCAATTTTCTTCAAACCGATGTGTCTCAATAGGAGGAAACACTTGGACAAGTTGTAGCTCCATCTGCTTTGGCTCGATGCGTTGTCTTTGCCTATAATTTGTTCTGATTTCTATATCTTAAAGGGGCATTGCAGCCTGAAATCCCCGAAAATTGTGTTTTGGATTGTTTACTTATCCTATTTCAAGGGTCGAGTTTAGTGAAAGGAGACTAACCTAATCAGATCACTGGCACGCACCCATGGAGTCGAGGCGCCCTCTTTGGCGCACGGAGCCCATAAAGGTTCCGGATTACAGGTTATATCTGATCACTGACATTTTAGGGTGCACTGACCGAAACTCAGAGATCTTCATATTTTTTTTTGTCTCAGAACCGCACATCTAACAAGATTATTTTCTACAATTATGTACTACTGCACTATACCTTCGGTTCGTGAAAGCAGTGTTATTTTTTTATGCGTGTGCAAAAGATAAGACACTCTCGCAGGATGTTTTCATGTCTCGACGAGCACTAGCAAATGCAAGCATTTTGACTTGAACAGAAAAAAAGAAAGAAATGGCAACGCACAAACAACGCTTTCATTTCTTTGCTGTCAATGACCGTTCGAGCGTTCTAACTTAATTCTGTTTAGGCCTAATGATTGAATGACCAAAGAGCTCCGATTGTATTCGATCGGCAAAACTCCCGGACCAAGAAGTGTTTTTTGTTTCAGATAAAACTAGCTATTACTCAAACTTTTTAGATGTCTTTTGTTGCGGAAGTGTAGCTACGGGATACCACGTTACTGCCAATCTCGAGAGATCACGGGATTTCACGAGTTAAGACGGGAATAAGCAATAAGTCTCAATCCCACGACGGTGCCATCATTTTCTTTCTTTTCAACTCCCGCTGCCTTTGTAATTCTGGATGTTACTTTGAGATTTTCATGTTTTCGATTTCTTTTTATGTTCATTTCGCTTGTAAAGTGAAATCCTGCCAATTTTATTGTCAGAGTCAAAGGCGTGTCGTGTCTTGGTGATTTTGCTTGCTTACGTGAAAAGAATTTTACATAATGATGCAGAAATTGACATCGTGTCTTTGAAGTTGGACCGATGATATCGCGGGGGTTTGACACAAACCTTGGTAAGATGATGAGTACGTAGCCTTTGATAACCAGTCCATTTTTTCATCGAAAAAGTTTGTTATTACTTCCATTCGTTTTATAGAGAAATGCAAAATTGTAGAAACAAGTCAGAGTAAAAATTCGTTACATGCATCATTTACTAGATGTCTTGGCTAGACAGCCAAGACATCTAGTTTCTAACGAGTACTCATGATCCACCATAACGATACTGCAACTGCAGGTTTTTGCCATTTTTTGTGGTCTTCCTCCAGTTGATGACAATCATTGTTCCTGTAGTGGAAATGCAACTTTTGATTTAGTTTCGACGGAATACAGATGCAACATAAGGTGAAAAGAACTTCTTTAAATATATTTTTTGCAGGTATAATTATGTGCGAGTGTGTGTATTGATCAAACCTACTTCTGGTACTACGCTAACTTTTCACAACATTTGAAATCCCGAGGTCAACATTGGCCACTGAAAAACGGATTAAAAAATGATCATTTTTAAATTCTCCCTACATTCACTTCCGATCCGATGAATTCATAGTTTTGAAACTTCGCGAATTCATTGCAGTTATCAAAAGATCTCATTGGCAATTAGGTAAAATGTTAAATACAAATCCTTTTTAAACTTTAAAAAAAAAAAAAAATTTGAAACGGTGATTGGTTTGAGCCAAACACCCAAATAACGTCAACATGTGTTTGACATTCAAGGCTTCTGAGTGATCATGGAGCCAGAAATGGAGTCAATCCGAGATTTAAGAAACTTAGGAATCTGTGTAAAAAGTTATCTGATGAGAATCTGCAACAGTAATTACCTCTGCCAAAGAGGTTAGGATTTCATTCGGCGTTGATTGGTTTGTCGTTTGCTTGGTTGATTTGTCTGTTAACAAGATAACTCAACAACTTATGGACGGATTTTCATGAAACTTTCTTTTATAGGGGTAGTTTTGGGTACAAGTACACATCGATTAGATTTTGGAAGTGATCCAGATCTGGGTCTGGATCCAGGATTTAAAAAAAAATGTTCTTCACCATTGGGAAATAGTACCAAATTCCACAATTGTGCTTGTTATTCTACATTAACCCCTTGACGCCGGGATTATCACGCCTCAGTCTGCACACGCAGGACGACACAACGCCCTTTGTCCGGTAGCAGATGCGCAGCTCCACATGCCGCATAACACGAGCAGTCCTGTTGACATTTTTAATGTGCAACATGCTTGGAAGTCCATGCGAGTATTTCTTTTGAGTGTATACCATAGAGCTGTATTAATATAGCTGTATGGTGTATACTGACAATATGGCGGGAAATTGTTCAGCCTTGGTGGAAGTTTGCGCTCTCTGAGTGCTTTCTAGTTGCCAATTTGAAATGATTTCCATTCCTTGAGCTCGTGCTTTGAGCAGACGAGTACGACTGGGCTGGCTGTTTTTATACCGAGCCTCTGATTGGTCGATCGGCCGTTTTGCGCGCGCTTATTAACACGCGGTGGCTTCACGAAATGTGCAAGTTTCACGCGTTGTATCTTCAAGAAGGAAATTGTCAGATATTAACCAATCACGGCCCGCCTCGCATGCACACACGAGTAGGATAGCTGCCGAGGAAGCATACATAGGCAAGTTTCTTGAAAACAATTTACTTTTTCGGTCGTGTTTCGTTGGAAGAGCACACTTGCACACCAGACTGACCAGCAGCCGTTACAGAAAGAATTACCTGATGATACTCAGCGCGCCAAGTTGCATGCTTCAAAATCCGACGGAGTTTCCAGTTGCGGTATTCCAGTGAGCTGAAACGGGCCGACTCCATCGGCAGCACGGTTGAAAAGAAATGGCGGCTGGTCTTCAACAGTTGATGTCTCTTTTGATCGTCGCGAGTCTTTGTTGCGAAAACGCGCAAGGTACCACAGGTAAGTATACAACACCAATAAAGTGAGCATTATAGGCCTGCATGTTTTTGATCATGAGCGTCAATCGGTGGGGGACGAGGGGGACATCCCCCCCCCCCCCACACACACACACACACACCCACACATACACCCTTTTTAAGTCGTAGTATATAGGCACTATATAATATTCTTTGATTCTACAGCTCAGAAATAGCTGATAAAAATACTTCAAACTCGAAAATGATGTTTAAGGGGCCGTTCAGAATTTTCAATGTTTTAAAATTTCGATCTTTTTCCAAATTGTGGGTGGGTGGGTCAAGCTAAATAATTGAAATCGAAATTCAGTTTCCATGGAAAAAAGATTTAAAAAAACAAAGAAAGATTGATCTTTTGACTTGCCTGAACAACGCGCAAGCGTTCCGATATCGCGATGCGTGTTTCTTTTCCAACTTGGTCCCCTGTATGTACTGTACATGTACGTCATGTACGTGTATAGACCCACTGTGGCATGAGAGGGAGGTGGTTTTTCAGTAGACTTGGATGCCGGGCGTTTCTAGCGGTTAGGCTGTGCAGAGGCAGCAGGGTACCAGATGTACTAGATCGGCTCTATAACACGCCGCGGGTGTCGATTACCAATCGCTATAAAAACTGGACTATTCAACCACTGGACTCCAAGACTACGAGGACCGCAGCCTCTGATGTGATGACTGCCCAAACCTGATGTTTTTCTTTCGCTCGTACCCCCGCCCTGCAAACTGGGCGGGGGGTACGAGGGAATGTTTTTCTCAGCTACCTCACGTGACAGGCACAACCTCGAATGTCACATGTCATCCACCTCATCCAGAAATAGCCCCATAAATGTGGCCAATTTACTGGACTGCCTCCGTAAATAAAGGCCACACAGCCACCATGCATCTACAAAAACATGTCGAACTTTGTCAAATTTTGATTTTCACATTTAGGCTTAGTTTGTAGTTTATTTTTGCTTTAGAAACATACTCACCCCCTTTATAGGCTAATGAGAAAGTGCTGCCTTTTTCAGATGTCTATTTTTCGAAAAATTTCATGTTGAAATTTTGATACGCAAACGTGTGTAAACGAATCTGGAAATTCCATAAAAAATAGACACCTGAAAAGGCAGCACTTTCTGATTAGCCTAAAAAGAGGGTAAGTATGCTTCTAAAGCAAAAATAAACTACAAACTATAAGTCTAAATGTGAAAATCAAAATTTGACAAAGTTCGACATGTTTTTGTACATGCATGCAGTGTAACCTTTATTTACGGAGGCAGTCCAGTAAATTTGCCACATTTATGGGGCTAATCCAGAAAATGACAAAACCACGGTCATCTTGGTGGCTTTCAAGACTGCAACCTGTCTTTCCCAACAGCATATCAGCTGGCAAAACACAAGAAAACTGAAGGCCACCACAGCAAAAGAGGAAGACCGACAACTTCACGCCGTCACTGAACTAGACACACAAGTACATGGGTACACATGTATACATGTACATGGGTATACATGTACATGTTCAAGTTTATGTATGCCTACACTGTACATGCAAGTGCATGTAGGCCTACATGATGTACATGTTCAGTTTTTTATTAATCGAAATTAGGGGTGGGTGGGTGGGTCAAAATAATTTGGAAAAAAGATCGAAATTTTAAAACATTGAAAATTCTGAATGGCCCCTAAATGAAGATCTTTTGCTCAAAAAAATGTTGGTTATAAAGTGGTCAGAAATTGCCTCAGATCGCACCACAGAGAGCATCTAGAATCAAAAAATTGTCCGGAGCCCTTTAATCAATATTTCGATGCATGGCTTGTAAAAAGTAAAAGAGTATTTTGCCGTCTACCAAATCAGGTCGGAGGTGCATTGAGTATTGTGGAGGACGAAAATGGACTTCTATTTTTCTGTTGTCAGACAAGCAAAATGGCAATTTGAACTTTTACGAAGATTTCATTTTTCTGGTTTTTCTGCTACCTTGCAACCCGAAAAGTAAAATTACCTTTTACTGAAATTCTACGTTTTTCCTTTTCTGCTTTTCTGCTACCCGAAAAACACTTTTCCATCCGATTTACTTATCTCTTTGCTGCTGCAGGCTGACAAAAGTAGACATCTGAAATAAATAAATAAATAAATTTGTATCTTGCTCGATCAGCAGAAACTCAGACAGACCGTTTTCAAAGATTCCATTTTCTTCTGTGACAAGCAGGTTCTAATCATGCGGACAAAAAGTGGTCATCGCTTTTCTCCATTCAGAAAAGCAGTAGGCCGATTGAACGTTTCGACAACATCTGTTTTCTATTTTCAGCTTTTTACCAATTCCAAAAGGCAGATTTTACATAGGTGGCAGAAATGTGGTCAGCGACTGTGTGGTTATGGGCTTACGGGTTACGGACTCTCTTCCCCTTTTTTTGCAGTGTAAACGTTGTTGTCATTCAAACACCTGAAGCATTCTTCTTTTATTTATAGTGATCCTGGTGGGGTTTTTTCTTCAGATTTGAACAGTGTCTTTTGGTGTAAAATTCAATTAATGTTTGCACATTTTGCAGTTGAATCAACCATGTGAATCAACATTTGTCGTGTGCATTCGCGGTGCATCGCTGTGGTGACCATTTGTTTTTCCTGCTGGGTCTTTCTTAAATGTTTCCCTAAAGCAAAATCAAAGCCCTGCCATCACGAAACACCTATCAGTTTTAAACATCGCTAACTACTTGGGTGGGCCCAGTAACGTAAAAGTGTTTTTTTTTGTTCTTATATGAAACGTGTGACTTTTTTTAAAACCAATTTTGGATGATGTGGTCACGTGATGCCAACTTACAGCAGCTGTTCTCTTCTTCACTGCATTTAGTAACTTTTGAAATATGAATGGTTTATAAGGGTTGACGAAATAACGTGCAAAAGATGCTTAGATGGCCTAGCGGTTAAGAGCACCGGACTCATGTTCTGGTGTTTCAGAGGAAAACAGTGGCGTGGGTTCGAGCCCGCCGGCGGACACTTGTGCTGTTAAGCAAGGCACTTAACCATTATTGCTTCGACCTTCGGATGGGACGTAAAGCCGTAGGTCCCGTGTGTTGTATAATGCACGTTAAAGAACCCAGTAAACACTTATCGCTAAGAGAAGGGGTTTGCCCCGGTGTTTCTGGCCTCCTGTATAAACTCCCACGTGGAGTATTTAGGAGAAGAACCAACCAAGAACCAAGAACCAAAAATTACTGTTCGGTGCAAGCCCTCTCACGAGGGAAGAGCGGATGTAGTAGATGTCCACTTTTCATCTTCCAGCAAACGAGGAAAAAGGAAAGCCTGCTTTTCTATTAGAAGAAAAGTATAAATATCGAAAAGTATATTTTATTACATAAATTCTGTTTTTCTGGTGTGGCAGAAAGGCAAAATAGCAGAAAACAAGTGCGAGTGCACAATAAGCTCTGGCCGTCTCGCATGAAAGTCTTACATGAAATGATTGTGCGTACAACAAGCCCGGGCCGCCGTCCCACGCGAAAATCACGCCGCGCTTTCGCGCTAGTCCCCGATAATTTACCAAAATAAGCCCTTTAAGGTTCCCATAATGGCGTGCTATATAGCGCGGTATATAGCGCTATACACAACGGGACAATAACATTAACGGCACATTTTGTCTGCATTTACAAAACCTTCATAAACAACTTTATGAATTGTTACAAACAGTTTTTGTTTAGTATTTCATTTATATTGTTTTGCTTTTTTTAATTAAAATGTGGTAGTTATATTTTATGGGAATTTTAGGGGGCTCGTTTTTGGTCAATTTCTCGAGGACAGACATAATATTATGCATAATATGCAAAATAGACTCGCATGCGCATCGATCTTTGAAATAAAGCCGGTCTTCCGAAAGCTTTCGGCAAGAGTGCATTAATTTATATGACCGTGGAATGGCTTTTGGTCAATTTTTGGTCCATTATTTTTGGTCAATAATCGGGGACAGACCAACCGACCGACCGACCGAATACCAAGTGACATGAAATGACGTAGAAGCTCCTAAAAAAAAAGTCAATCTGCTTTTCTGCATTTCCGACGGCAGAAAGGCCAATGGCAGATTTTAGTCCGCCATAATAGTGATTCTGATTGCGTTTGATTTTATATCATGAAGGACTTATTATTATTTTGTCACATCCATGTCATACTTTGACTTCAGAAGCATCCTTGAAAACTGCGAAAAGATAATTCAACAATCAATGTACTACAGTGTTACATTTTTTGGGTCGACACAAGGATGATTTTTCCTAGTGTACCAACTTTAAAGATTATTCCAAGGTGACGATTATACGGTTGAATTCCACATAACTTTCCGGAATGATTAAGGATCCTCCAAAGTGCAACATCGCTTTTAAATTTGCTAATGTAATACCACATACGTGTTCACGCGCGAATTCATATCTTTTGCCAACTTTGATTTCTTTTGCCCAGGAATTCCGTCTCCAACCGACCCCGATGCTGATACCACGCTGCCCAACACAACCGATGGGCCGACCACACCGGCCGAGAGGGAGATACCGTATGCCTGTCCGAAGGCGCGGAGCTCGTGGCACACATGCAGAATCTCAGGTTGCAGGGAACCGCCCTGGCAGCGGTTTTACTGTCATTGCGACCCCCTGTGTGTAACGTACGGCGACTGTTGCCCGGACGTCGAGGAGTATAGCGTGGTGGGAACGGACGAAGACGGCGTGACAACGGCCGGAGACGCTGCTACCTACGGGGATAGAAGTTCCGGTAGCGAGAATATAGAAAAGGACTTGAGGTGCATCCAGACGAATGAGTTTGATCCTGAGGTATCTAGACCCCGGTATGGGTACCGTCTTGTGGCTGCTTGTCCGCCGGACTGGACTGGAGCTGCCACGGTCACCGAACTGTGCCAAGAAACGGTCGGGATGGACGGACTTGCTGCCGTACCGGTGGAAGGATCCGATGGACGCCATTACCGGAACGTCTACTGCGCCATGTGCCACGGTCTACCACACACAAATGTCACCTTCTGGACCGTCTCTTATCAACGCAAGTTTCCTTTCAGGGGACTACTCAACACCAGCCAGGTCCTACAGGTCGCCAAGGGGCAGGGTATGACTCGCTTTTTCTTCAATAAGTATTTCATCCCTCCCCAATACGAAGATGCAGATTATTTAGCTGCCTCGTCACTTCGAACATGCAGTATTTTGGATGCGATTTCTTGTCCAATCAGCGATCACCGCACGCTGGAGCTATGCAATCGGTACTACGCGCCAATCGCTTGGAACGGGACGACCTTCCGTAACTTCGCTTGTGTTCAATGCGACGACGCACCTATTTTTCCTTCCGGTATTCTTTGGGCCTTGTGCGATTCGTCTAAAAGTAGTGGATTTGGTGGCTCAATGGCTACTCTGCTGGTTTTCTCCGACCACACTGACATCGGTGGCGATCTTGCTCGAGATGGGTCCGTGAGCAGCGCCACTGCCTGTACGCACCGTCAAATATACGATCCCTTCTCGTCATCCTGCCTAGACCTGAGTTGCCCGGACGGCTTCGCATTAGAGGACGGCGGAGTGAGATGCGCGAGGATTCGCGAGACTGAGAATGGGTCAACTAGCCTGAAGGTTGACGTCGAGGTCGCTCTCACCGTCACGGTAAGTCTGGACAACGATGCTGACGCTCAAAGCACTAATCGACTGAATGAACTTGGGGAAGAAGTTGCTCAACAAACTACTAAAGATTATCGGTACATCGTCTCCGGTTGCGAATTCGAGAATGAAATGACAGAAAACAATATCAACCGAGAAAATGAATTCTGTAACGACTTTAGTGTCCAATGGTCATGCAAAAGGGGCGTCGCCACCTTGGATGCTACACCCGCATGCCTGTCAGGCAGTGTGTTCAAGTGCAACGTCAACGTGTCATTCGACAGTCTGGCGCTCTCAGATGACCATTTCATTGCCCAGAACGAAAGGCTTTCCGGTCAGTGCTTTGCCAGTCGAATTGGGAACCACACAATTCGACCAGACTATCTGGCAGTCTCAACTCCTTGCGAAACTCTGTCAAATGATACCGAGGAGGAGTCCAATGTTAACCATGTCTTCACTTCGAAAGTTGCTTACGTTCGGGACAATGACTCCGGACACTTTGTGGTCTCGCAGAATGATTCCTGCGCGGATGCGTTTGTCAATTGCCCTCTGTTAACATTTTCAAAAGAGGATTACGTAATCACTGGCGCCCTCAACGACTCAATTAGACTCACGGCTCACGACCGCGTACTCCGTAGTGGCGAATTTGAGATAAAGTCCAAAGGGGACGTGGAGGTGTGTAACTTCCTTCAACCGGGGGCGCCCTCTACCACCCCTACCTTCATGAATTGGGGCCCCGCCCACTTCATCCTCACCGTCACCGGCAGTAGCTTGTCTCTGATTGGTCTGGTGGTGACAATTGCTACGTATGTCGTGTTCCCGTCTCTGCGTCGCAATGCAGCCGGCTGGGCACTCATGAGTCTGGTGGCGGCGCTCTTTCTTGCCCAATTAACAATGCTCATTGGTAAGTGAACGTACATATAGTTGAAAGATCACGTGGAGATGCATAATGCATAAAAAAGAATACATCATAAGTCGGCAGTATTTTTAGTGATAAAAGAAATAAGGTTTATCGCAAAATCTCTTTGGAGAAACAAAATAACTGCCTAGCCTTGTGTCCAAGTTAAATGGCTGAAGTAGTATTCCTGAACAGACAGCAGATACAAACCAATTGCGGACCGCCTTCAAGTGCCATGTTTTTGAATATCCGTCAATAGAGGGCCAGCGTTATTCCTTCTTGCATGCATAAAATACGTTCATACTCACTAAAATTTAATTATTTGGATTCCAGTAACTTGGACTTTCCCATCCAGGAAAGTAGCCTCGCTGCTCCGAAATTCTTATAAGTATATAAGTATTCAGCGCCCTAAAGACTTGAAAAAAAAATTCAATACTGATATTAAAAAAAATGAGTAAAGTGAACTGAAATGTATGCTAACACAAACACTGTTTGGGAATTTTTCTATATTTTAGGTCTTGATCGTACTGACGTACCTACTCTCTGCGTCACATTCGCGATCGGTTCCCATTTCTTCTGGCTCGCAGCGTTCTTCTGGATGAACATCCTGGCCGTGGACATCTACCGCACTTTCGGCATCGGTACCAGTCTAAGTAACCCCAACGAAAGGTCATTCCTTCGCTACGCCCTCTACGGCTGGGGCGCGCCAACCCTCATCGTCGCCACCGTCGCCATATTGAGTTTCTGCGACTGCGTAGAGGCTGACGTCCACTACGGCTCTGCGCATGCGTGCTGGGTCGGCAACGGGACAGCCAATCTGCTGTCCTTTGGCGTTCCGATTGTTGTGATTCTCTGCTCCAATGCGGTCCTATTTTCTCTCACCATGGCTGGGGTCAAGAAGACGCGAATGGCATCCAAGCGGATGAATATCACCCAGGGGCAGAGCGGTTCGGCGGCAAAGAAGCCTAACAATGATCTCGTACTATGCCTGAAGGTAAAGAAAAACGATAGGAAATGCGTTACATTTTTATCATCATTATCATTAATAGGCCTATCGTTTTCAGGTTTCCCTAATGTGCACATTTACAACTTACGAAATAACTACTGTATAGCAGCGCCCTCTGTTCCTATACATTTTCTCTTTCGACGTTGACTTTCGATCGGTTTTCGAGATTTTGGACAAACATAATATTTTTATTTAAACAAATTTAACGGGCTAGTCTCTAGACAATGCAGAAAGAACTGCGAAAATGACACAAATTGCTCAAAGCCGACTAAAAATGTAAATTGATCTTTCTTCGTTTCAGTTTAACTTGTAGGAAGCAGTCGACTGGCCAAAACTATTTAGCCAGTTTCTCAATATTACGAGTTTCCCAACGTTGTTCTCAGAATGTTCCTTATTTTAACCTCGTTTTCATCACAGGAAGCCACTCATGGTATCGATGCTTACACGCCACGAGGACGAGTTTGGTTATTTCATGAAATGTTACTTTAAAAAAAACGAAGAATTCCTTCTTTTCTTTCCTCTCATCCACTCTGTTCAGTTAACAGCCATCATGGGTTTCACCTGGGTCTTCGGATTCGTAGCCTCCTTCTCAGGCGTCGAGTTATTCTGGTATCCCTACATCGCCCTGAACTCCCTCCAGGGGGCGTTCGTCTGCCTGGCCTTCGTTTGCAACCGGCGCGTGCTGGCCATGTGGAGGGCCTGGCTCAAGTCACGGCGCGTACGCTACCTGGCCGACCAATCAGACACGTCCGGCTCGCGTCGAGGCCAGACGTCACTCAAAGAGTCCGTGAGTGACCAGAGCCATGTGGAAAGTGGTACCAAAACCACACGTATGTAATCAAAAGACCCAAACGTCTACATGTCACAAAATGTCTATCAAGAATATTGCGAATCTCAAGTGAGATCTGTAACAATCATAATCTTGACAAATTTAGCAATTCAGAAGGCTGAGTAAGGACAACAATTAATTGTTACGTTGTAAAATGATCGATGCAATTTATGACAATGTTCAAGCGATATTGTATAGAATTGTATGTAACGTTATCATTGTTAATTCATGCTGAGTAATGTTGAGTATTGACCAATTCCAAAGGCTGAATATTCACATAACATGATGATTTTATCATTAATTTTGTGTTGATGTTTGTGTGGTATGGTATGATATAGTTTTTATTGCATATTTGCATTTTAGACTTACACGATTCGTATGGATTTAATGTTTATCTTTATGATTGATTTTAAATTAAACCGTTCGTATTTACTACAAGTAGCTATGATTCTTATTCTTAGTGCTTATTTAAAGCGCAAAAAAGGAAACTTTCAATGGATTTGGAGCTATATATTTATCATAGTATTAGTTTATGTTATACGCACAAGATTCTAACTGACTTGAACTTTTTTCGCAAGTACTCACTTTAAATACTTTAAACAACATGCCGAGTAAATTTCCTCTAAAAGGCTACAGAGAGCGCTATACCACTCGCACGGGGCCGAGCCAAGTATATGCACAAGTATATACGCAACACTGCACCCAACAGTGGCGTAGCACGGTCATTTTTTATTGAGGGGGGTACATTTTTTGTTAAAAGGGCACTTGCACATCCGTGCTGAAATGTAGACACGTTTTTTTCCCCGGACACTTGGTCTCCGTAAAATCAAATAGGTGGGGGGGGGGGGGGGGGGGGGGGGGGGGTTGGTACCATCTGTGGATGGGGGCGCTGTTCAAAACCTACGATAACGGACAATAACAATATATGGTGCTTTTGACGGGGATACATGCGCGAAATTAACAAAAAAAAGGCACCACTTACTTTTAAAAAGGGCACTTGTTCAGAAAAAGGGCACTTGTTACTCTTTACAAAATATTGAGGGGGAGGGTAGCGCTGGTGAAAACAGGGCATTTTAACAGAAAAGGGCAGTCTTTACAAAATATTGGGGGGTAAATACCCCCCCCCCCCCCCGCTGGCTTCACCTATGCCCAATGCATTCATGTCTTCGATTTTACTGGTGAAGACTGCTACAGTTTCTAACTGAACACTCATTAGTTGTACAACTACACCCAACCAAAAAAGAAAGTCCCCCCCCCCCAATACTTTTTTTTGTGTAACTCAAAACTACTGCGCACATCTTGCTCAAATTATGACTGATCGGTACAAAAATGCCTTAGCAACAATCCAGCCATGCTCTTTCTTTAGCCCAAAACAGTGATAATGTGTACAAAATAATGCAATTTATGACAAATAGTACCGAAAAAAAGTTGCACTTTTGTATACGTGCAAGGTGAGCGTGAACCACAACTTGCACCTATAAAAAAAAGTGCAACTGTTTTCGGTATCATTTGTCATAAATCGCATAATTTCGTACAAATTAATGCTGTTTTGGCCAAATAAAGAGTATGGCTGGATTGCTAAGGGATTTCTGTACCGATTAGTCGTTATTTGAGCGAGACGTGCTCAGTAGTTTTCGAGTTAGACACAAAAGTATTGGAGGGGGGGGGGACTTTCTGTTTTGGTAGAGTGTATGTTGCAGTTACTAAAACGTTTGGTGATGCGTTATCCAAATTAGGTTCTTGTAGTTAAAATGTTCACGGTGTAATCAGTTATCTTGCATTGTAAAAACTAAACACTATTGTCAAGAATTGCAACAAATTTATTGTTACTTGAAAATAAAGCACAAATAAAATGAGTACAATGAACGCCACTCCTGTCTCCTTTTGGATTTTCCGAAATAAGACATTATAGCAACACACATCGACTCTCAGACGAAGAGGTTTTCCTCTGGCAAATTTGGCCGGTTACAAGCCTCAGAGGCCTCAAAGCAATTCATCTTGTCCGTCAGTAAGATGTAACAAGATTGCTGCCATTTCAGCCAGCCAGGCGGACAGGAGGCGTAGAGGGCCTGACAGACTGGTAAACTTATGAAGATCAAAACAAGCATCGGAGAACAACTTGCTATAATAAACCATGCCATGATTGGTATATTGATGAAGATCAAGACACAACTAAAACCAAAATGTTTGAACACTATCCACTCCAAATGTTATCTACATTGTATGTAGAATATGACAACCTTTTAACAAAGAATACATTTGTAGTTGTCATTGCATCCTATACAGGTTTTGAATTTGCGTCAACAAAGGCGTACTCGGCGGCAACAGACATGTTGATTAAAAATCTGATATTCTCTGGATTGTGTGTATGTGTGCGGCCCAAGTGTGTGTCATGCATGGCTGCGGTGTAAATCGAGGACACACACGTGCAACAGGCATCGATGAATTGAGGACAGGAACCAAATCGAGGACTTCTCTGTTAGAAAACGTGTACAAAACCAGCAGAGCTGTTGCAAAAAAGTCTAATTAAAGAAAAAGGGAAGAGAAACAATAGAACAATCCTCGATTTACACCATAAACGAACGTGTATGTGCGGGGATCAACCTGCAGTGTACTGCACAAGCTGGGTTAGGATAGATTCAACCAGTACTATGGAGAAACTGTGCCCGAATGACGACCTAATCCACACGACCACAAATCGACAACATAATGAGGTATCGGCCTCTTCGTTACCAGCCTACCACACCTTCCATTGTCCCCATGGGCGTGTCTTCCAGCGATGCCGCTCCTCCATCACCATCAAGAATCTAACGGTAGAGGGCGTGCTTGCCTGTGGCTGGGCGTGCTGGGCCGATCCCTTATGCCGCTCTTTTAATCTCTGGCAAAGCAGCAAAATGGAAAACGTGTTAACTCAATGACGTCACTCGTCTTGTGGCTGATGGCATATACTTCAAGGCACCCAACAACTGTGCTACAATTTTTTTGCCACAGTCATTTTGCTCTGGCCGCCGTCATGCTGTCGGCACTGTCATCATTCACCTGTCTTTAATAATCGACATAATTTCCAGCGCCTTGAGTACATGTACCTAATAAGTGCGCATATAAGTCAATTGCACCAACCATTCATTAACTTGTTGCACTCTATTATCCGATCGGCGAGAGTTTTCTCTGCGTGCACTGTGATCGCATATAATCGTACTTAACGTTTTCATATTAACGATAACTTATTCAAACAGGAAATGAATGCTCGTGTAGATATCATTATAGTAAGGTAGAATATTCCCAAGAAGAGGATTTCGAGGACTGAAGCAATACATACACGTACGTGTATTTCTTCTTTTTCTTTTTTTTACTCAGGTCCCAAAACTCTACCGACGGTGACCTCACAGATCAAGCAACCCCGGCGTGTATAGCACTCTGCATGTTACCTACAGGGATTGGCACAAATAGTGAATTGAACCTGGATATAGTATTAAAACCCTTTCCTCTGTAAAAGCCAAGCATTCTCCTGAAGACAAACAACTTAATGCGTACATGTTGAAGCATTGAGTCTTGCCGGTTGTTTTCTCAACCACATCACAAACTCACAAAAAAGCATACACTCTAGGCAGACCGTAAAATCGTTTACTTATTGATGCTTTACCGTGGAAACCATACGCCCTGACTTCCATTTTTTCAAGTGTTCCACATCAATAAACTCTCCGACCTTCGAGGCAGTATACACTCAACAAAGCTATTATTGTCGTTTTCTTTACTTACCAGTCGAGTGCTGTTGTCACCGTCATGATAATTTTCGTGTATTCGTCATTATGGTATCGAAATCATCATGCAAAGCATGGTTAACAAGCAAACTGTCGTGAGATATTTCACTTGATCTCAACAACTTAATACCAGATGAAAAGACTAGACGAAACAGCAACCTACCAGTTGTGAAGCATATTTCAAATGTTTTTACGTCGTTGATATTTTTTTAATGTAGAAACATATTATAATGTAGTAAAATGTACTCTGGTTTAATATTAAATCTTACATTTTCAGTCAAATTTGGCCAAAAAATGACTTTTCACCAAACAAGGCAGAAGTTCATCTGGATGCAAGAGGAACACCAATCAATACTCTAACTCGCACAATTTTGAAGATTAGGGCAAAAATCATCCATTTTGGGAGAAAAAGACATTCATTTTTTTAGTGAATTTTCCTTATATTTTCGACGGAATTTTCCTTTCTAATAGCACATCTGTCCAGAAATCGATTTGGCATGTGTTCTAGGGCCCTTAAGGCATCTTTCCAGCAACTTTTGAGCAATTTCATATTTTGGCCAAAATTGAAAAAAAATGCAAGGTTGGTTTTCTGTCTTAATCATGATGGAATGTCAAAGCAAAAATATATAGAAAACAAGATCTCTATCAGTTCTAAATTTCTAGAACATGCATTTGCCGCTTTCTACGAATTTTCAGAATATATTTTCAATAGTTTCAGGATATAAGAACACAATTTATTTGTGTTCAGCGTCTCTCCCTGGAACAATAATTATGTTTGTACTTATATACTTCATTGTTATACTAGGTATATACAATGCAGTGATACTTTAAACGGTTGCCTCATTTGGATTTTTTCCAAGGTTTCTCTTCTACCAACGAATGCAGGCGCCATGATGGTTAATAGGAGCACATGTACTTGAGATGAATAATTTATTGCACTTTATATGCGTCCCTAAACTAAGTACACGATTTCAAATTGCGCAGTGAGTATATAAAGATCATACACACGTATAGTTGACAGCATTCAACGGTACGATGGCTTGGTGGACAGCAAGGTTTGTTCTGATACTTGTCTCGATTTTCATCAATTTACCAAGCTGCCAGGCCCTCTACGCCTCATGTCCGCCTGGCTGGCTGAAATGGCAGCAATCTTGCTACATCCGACTCCCTAACAGGATGAATTGGTTTGAGGCCTCGGAGGCTTGTAACCGGCCGGGAAGCAGTCTGGCCGTGCCCAACTCGCGGGAAGAAAACGACTTCATCTGGAAGTCAGTGGGGCCACAGACTAACGGTATGTGGATCGGCTGTACGGATGCGGCCCAAGAGGGTATCTGGCTGTGCGGAGGTCAACCTCTGGCTTTTTCAAATTGGTATCCTGGCAATCCGCTCACCGACAACCAGCGTAACTGCGCCCGGATGACGATACACGATGCCGGGGGCTTATGGTCCGACAATGCGCCTTGCGGTAGCAAAAACCGCAAACATGCAGCCTGTGAGATGACGGTCTCGGCGATGCCAGCCTACCACACCTTCACCGGTCCCGATGGGCGTGTCCCCCAGCGGTGCCTCCTCCATCACGACATCAAGAATCTGACGGCAGAGGGCGTGCTTGACTGTGGCTGGGCTTGCCGGGCCGATCCGCGATGCCGCTCCTTTAATCTCTGGCAGAGCAGCAAGAGAGAAAAGATGTGTCAACTCAATGACGTCATTCATCTTGGGGCTGATGTCACCGACTACAAGGCAACCAACAACTGTTACTATTTTGAACTGTAAACAGATTTCGACCGAAAGATAACTTGCCGTCAATGCTCGGACAATATCATTCTCAGACTGCAATGGATCACAATTCGCACTTGCCGTCAATGCTCGGACAATTAAAATACGACTTCTCTCTCAATTACACACACTTTTCGACTGGGAAGCATTGCCGCCTAAATTGTTTGAGAAGGAACTGCGTCGAAGGATTTTTAGTTTACTTTAGAGATTCACATATTATCCCCGTCAATGTACTCATTCAAGTGCTTTACTATAAAATCCGGATCTCGGTTAAATATTTCTTCGTCATCTCTATTAAGTTTACGCAAATGAACTGTTAGTAGTCCTTAACGAAAATTTTAATCATTTTCCAAAACAAGAAAAAAAAAGGAAAAACATTTTTGCAGCTATGAAATTTTCTTTTTTCCACGATTTAAGTCTAAATTTAAGTGCACAAACAAAAACATGTATTAGAGTGAGCGTAGATAACAAAATGATGTGTTTTCGTGATGTAAAAATGTGGAATGAGTTAAAAGTTCAAATTTGTATAATATTTTAGTGAATCACTTGTTGTTCGTCAATGTATTTGTTTAAAGGCTGTATAGTGTCAAAAAAAGTTACTGAGTTAGAACAAAAAACTAAAATGATTTAGTGATTAATTATTTCTGGTGATGAAACCACAGATTCCTCAACAGCGCCCTAGGCACGAATATAGAGAGACGATGATACGAATGACAGTTTTAGAGGTGGGAGGAAAACCCTTAATTGCTACTAAATAACATACATGTGCCTCAGAAAGATATTCTGGGGAAAAACCCACGGAATCAGGTAGGGACTGAAAACACAATCCACATGTGGAACAGGGCAGGAATTAGGGCAGGAATCGAACCAGGGCCAGAGCCGTGGAAGGTGAGGAAAGTACCGCTACCTAACCTGACTCCCAAAAAGTGCACAAGGCTTGCTCCATTAAAAATATCATAGTAATAAAGTACAAACATGTCTGCCTTTAACTAGTTACTTTATAAAAAAAAATCATGTAAGTAGCAACATTCACGCGTCAGTATTTCTATTTTAATACGGAAATACATGAACCACAAAATTCAGCTTCCCACTCGTCATATACCGATACGCATGGTATGTACCCTTTAAATACTCTGAACAAAAAAACTTGCACAGAAAACAGACAAAATAATTACCTTTCTCCAGTGGCGTAGCCACGGGGGCGTGGGGGGGGGGACAGCCCCCCATGAAACCTTGTCGCCCCCCAGTCGCCCCCCCCCCCCCCCCCCACTGAGATTTCGAGTTTCTAAAAAAAATATTTTTGATCTACATGACGCCCCCCATGAAATGTTCCATCCCCCCAGCGCCCCCCCCCCCTCCCCACTGAAAAATTCCTGGCTATGCCACTGCCTTTCTCATTTCTGAAAAAAAAACCACTTGATTTATTCCTCGTACACGGACTTTTGAATGTACGACGGGGAAAAAATAAAATCCTCCCAAGGGGGAATTTCACGGTAACTTCATATAAATGGATACAAATATCAATTATGGTTATAACCGGTCCATAAAAAAAACAAGGAAGTTCTAAATAATTGGTACGGTCTAGGCCTCAAAAATATATATATGAAGCAATGCTGGTTCGGATTTCTGGAAATTTTGTTATATTTGAAATTATAGCATTGCATCCTCATCCTGCTTTTCCTATGAAGTTATATTAATCACATTTTTAAACGGAATTACGTAGGGAAAAATCATGCAATGTCGACAAAAATAATTTAGTGGCATAACTGTAAAACCCCCTCCTGTCCTCCCGGGACGTTGGCGTGGCAACCCTCCCACCCCCGCTCAGAATTTGGGGGATAGCAGAGAATGTATGAGCTTATTATTTAAAAAAAAAAAAAAAAAAAAAAACACACCAAAAACCAATGACATGTCCCTTCAAAAAAGAGGTCCCATCAATTCAGTGCCACCCGCAAATTGGACCCAGTTTAATACGCCACTGCATGAGTTCGATGCTCGTAGAATTCTCGCAATCTCCAGATATTGCAATAGCGCCCTCACAAACAACTTCAGAGTGTCTGACCAAAGCGTAAAGCATGACTGTATGTGAAACAATATTCTCCAAGGCAGTCAATGGACACAGAAGTCAGCATTCGCTTTTGGTTTCAAATAGGTTTCTATGAGTAACTGTTTTAATAATTAGCTCATTTTCCTTTTTACAAGTTTTTCTTTCAGATGTGGATGGAGTAATGGTTTTTAAATAGATATAACGGGCACCAGTGGAACTACATGTACAATTTGATGCATGTTTCGCCTCAAATGAATTGGCTACCAGTGAGCAACAGACTGCGTGTACACGATTCGTACACGGATGCTGTACGTACGTCAATGTATGGGGATATACGCAGCAGCTCTTCGATCGCAGTATCGCAGGCAGACGTAGACTGGTCATGCACGTCCACCGTACCACCACCGACGCCCGTCTACGGTTTAAAAAGGCTACAAACTGACAAACTGTTGAGCCACAAAAATTAACAAAATACACTTTTAATGTCGGTGGAAAGTGACCCACGAATAATACAAGTCTTGTTTTCTGCCACGCATGCAAATGGATGGATGGATTGTGTGTCAGGTTTGAACGCGAACGTTGTTTTTCTTGATTGGATTTTACGAGAAGTGACGAATTTATTATCAACGCGTGACAGTCTCCAGCAGGACCAGTCACTCGATCCGGAAGGTAAACGATGCTAGTGGAAACTGAATACTTCGACACCAACCAAGCCATTTTCATATGAAACTATTATTACTCGGCTTTGAGAAATATTCAACTCCGATGCATAATTTATAAGTGAAGAATATGAGTGTTGATGCACTGGGTAAGAGAACGAGTATTCTTTGACATGTTTGATGATTTGGTGAAACTGAGTTTGTGATCATTTTTGGGGGCTGGAATTGGATTCGCGTCAGTGGAAGCAGGTTGGTCCTGCACACAACAGTTAGTGTATACAGACTATACCGTTACTGCAGTGTTGCACTGTGAACGCCGTGTACCAAATTATCACAATGGCCGTAGGCTTAGCCGGTGGTTGCAGATGTTCTCTTAAAACAGAAATGATGGACAGGAGTGCAGACAACCAAACTGGGAACTCTTCCAGCAAGAGATATACCAGCACAAGAAGGATTTACTGCGGTAGATGGTCGTGGATGCTAGCTGCTTGGTTCTTGCACAGTTGCGTCTGGATTGCTTCATCCGGTAAGCACAGTTACCCGAATTACGGTGGCTCATTCCAAATACTTCCTGCATATTTCCTGTACTGCTTCTTATTAATATTACTCTTGGTGTTGTTATTCATAATTTGTATTTTTTGACAGTGTCTTCAAATTCAGTTCTTTTATCGTATTTTAGATCATTTTATTTACAATGGTTTAGGCCTATTTTTTTTTGGGGGGGGGGATTATTGTTATTATTTGTTATTCTGCTTTTTTTCTTCAACGGTGCTTTTGGAAATACGTCTGTAAATAATTAAATTGAAACAATATTCTCCGTCATTATATTAATTAACCCTAACCCATTTAGTTAGTAGTTCCCCAGGACTACCCTGCTAAATCCAACAGAGTCCGACGGTTATATTTATACTCGTATGAGTTTCCTGCTCAATCCAACACAGTCCAACACACAACCCAACTTGCCAAGTTCTTGGGTACCTGAAAATATAAAATGAGTGTTTTCAAACTTAAAGGAAAAATTGATACATAATTCAACTGATTTAATTTTCATAATCGAGAAAATCACGTTTTCAAAGTATTAGTCTGGACCCCCCCCCACATGTACACACACACGCAATGTATGAAAACTTAAATACTTCATACAATTAATTACCAACACAAGTCCGAAAATTTGTGACTATCAATAAAACATGCAATACAAGAAAATAGACTGGCACCTGAAACAACCAGTCCAACACAGCTTCAGTACTGCATCAATCAACTGTGCCAAACGAAACATGTGGCAAGTTAGGAACTAGTCTCTATATACTACACATTTCTCCATAGACAGTCACCAGACTAATGACACTGAAGAGGTCAGTCTTTTCAAACAGTTGGACCATGGTACCAGTCTTTAGCCTCAATTTGAAATCATTTGACTTCCCTCTCATAGGCAAAATATTGAAGCAAAGTCTCCTTTGAAAACTGAATCGACTCAGACTTGGTTGGTGCAATACTGCTACATGTAAGGACCTTGTCTTTTCTCAATGAAACTTTTGCAGAAATTTGCTGGCTAAAGAGTGAGTAAAGTTGGCCTGATTTAGTTTTGCCCGTTTAAGAACACTCCAGGTCCCAGTTTGGACCAACACCACAGTGTAATGTATAGCCTTCACACAAGTTTCCCTTCTACAGTAGAGAACAGTCTAGATAATTTCAACATCTCATAAAAAAAGAAAACTCAACCAAAGTAAAGAATTATTTAGGCTTTTGAATTTCTCAATAGATCCGTGCCAGTTAACAGGAAGCAGAAATAATGTACTTTTGAGGACATCCAGTTTAACTACACGGTCCAATAACCCCATTATGAAAGTGAATTACATCAAATACATGTACCTGTACTGAGTCCACTGAAATGCATGTATCAAAGAATTTCTTCCCTAAGGGTTTGTTGCATATCACCGGAAACGGCGTTAAAAGGAAAAGAAAATACCTGATTATATTTAAAATACAATTTGACTGTGATCATGCAAAATAATAGTCTTTAAGTCCAAGGCTGGATTTGAATTTGTATTCCCCTATTTTGCAGCCCGTCCCGTGACAGATGTGGTTAAGTTGCTGCGGCGGTGGAGGTCTCTATCAATCGGATGAATCAAATCCAGTCTTGGCAATATTGGCAGCGCTACCCAGGAAATTCTGAGCATACTTCACGCGCATGCATTAGCTTGAATCCAGCGGGCGTGAGGTGTGCTTGGAATTTCCTGGGTAGCGCTGCCAATATTGCCAAGACTGAATTTGATTCATCTTTTTGATCCAAATCCAGTCTCTGATCAAGGCTAGCAAAATAAGTGCAAATAGTCCATGAGTTACAATGTACGTAGCAGTTTCACCAGCATTATTAAAAACATTGTTTGTTGTGAAAACAACTTCAAATTCAACGTAAAGTATCACATTTTGATGCCCTCAAAACGTATTGGATTGCAAAATATTTTGCATTTCAGAACGTCTGTTCACGGTTTTAAAAAAAAATGTTTGTGTACAGTATGCACATGATAACACCTTGGTTGAACAAAAGGTCATGTTATGATAGTAATTACGGTGTTACATTTGATGGATGGCGATGCATTAAAACGAAGACTTTGCAATTTGGCGGAATGTGATGCATGCCGCTAACTGCAAATTTGTGCCCGGGCAGAAGGCCGGAGATAGTGCACGGTATCCCAACAGAGTTGCTCACTCAACAAATTAGAACAAGAATGCCAGTGTTTGGCATTCGAGCAAGAGGGGGAAACCGAAATTTATTTATAGGAATTCTTTGTGTTGTTTTGTTCAACATTGGCAAGCTGTATTTTATTTTAAGCTGTCACTGCTACAAACAAGTAAATTGAGAATTGATTTGTGGCGCTTTGCCAAATGTAAATCATCTAATAGTGATGTCATTTTTTCTTATAAATGCCAAATGAAAGGATTTTTTGGGGGGTAGGAATTATTTTGATGAACATTCCAAATAAATTTATACAATAAACATGTTTTGATTGATTAATATTAACGGGTCTAAAATATGTTCAATAGTCTCACAATGACATCTTTCTCTTTCAGATATCAGTTTCGATATCAATTTGACCAATGTTTAATAAATAGGGCCAATTAGAAATTCTACATCAAATCAAAGACTATATTATTTAATTTCATCATCTTTACAAAATATTACACAGATATCAAATTCGACTGAGCACACCCATTTTTGTTCAAATACAGATGAAAAATGTCTGACTAAAATTGTGCCCTTCGTTTGTGCACATAGATGTATTGCCATTTTGTGTGCAACAAAGAAAATCAGAATCAAATCAATATGAGTGCAAATTTTGCCAATTTTCCAACCCAGCTCCTGTTTCTATCCAAGACCTTTTATCACACAGGCTGCATCTGTCGGACAAAGAGCGCACGCCGTTCGAGCGTGTGAGCAATTCTCAGCTTGCATCCCTTGTTGCCACAGCAACACACATATTTGTCCCCAGCGGGTGGGGTGTGCCTCCTGGAGCAAGCATCGCGGACGAAGCGTGACTCTCTCTCAAAAATCTGATTCATTTCTGACCGTTGGGCTAAGCTTTGCATTTTTCCCTTGTGACTATCTTCCCTGTAGAAATCAATGAGTATGTACAGTGTACATAAGTTCACATGTACCGGTAGACTACGCATTCTCGTTATGTTTTATTCCTGTGGGTAGGTTGTATGAACATGTACTTTGATTGCACTAATGAAGGGAGTTGCCCCGTGTGTGGTCTCCCTGTCAACCAACTATGCTATGACTCACCGCTGTTCGCCAGCAGTTTCTAATAAATTTCAAATGCACTTAAAACCATAACGCTGGTAACAGAACTTTGAAAATGAAATGTACTGGTACATATAGACAACTCGCTACACTGAATGCACAGTACATTTTTTTTTATTTACAGTATATAAATTGTACACAAGTAATGGTTGGGAAAATTAATGCCCCACAAAATCCTGAATCTGTCAATGTTTAAAAAGATTCTTTTTTTCACACAGTTTTTTGGTGTACATACAGTGTACAAACCAGTTATAATTTTTAAGGGAAAAACATTGTTACTTTATGTGCACGACTTGGATGTTTACATGACAGTCAGTTGCATAATTTATTATCAATTGTAAAATTTGCATTGCTATTTTGATAATTATTGTTGGAGATTCCTTTTCTAAATGAATTGCAGTCAGAGTGGTACATACATGTACGTTACGTTGGGCTTACGTACATAGTTCAGAATATTACAAAGGTATATAAAAGCATACGTGCAATTGTTTGGAAAAGATTAAATCTTACCCGTAGTTCTCACTGCAAACAGTATGCGTGTATCAGATCTACTCACAAACATGCATAATAATATGCACATTTAAAAATAGATTCAACTGGCAATGTTCTCGTTTTAAAATTCAATTTTCTGCTTAAATCTTTTTACAATACATGTGGAATACATTATTTAAATTTGTCTCATTTGAAATTTAAGCCACGCACTACATGTACAAGTTTCATTTGTTTTTCCATGACAGCATGTGTGTTGTTATAGAGTAATATTTTTGGAGGAAATGTTGAGCCAGAAATACTCAGTAAATAAAAAATACAAAATTTAGAAATATTTGTAAAATATTATGAATTCGTAGAAACCCTGCATGGTGAGTCATATGGAGAAAAAAAGATGTACTTCGATGCAGCTGTCAGTGTAGAGACAGGCCGTTTCATGCATGATGTTCAAGTTTACGACATGATAACATCCATTGATTTCCGATCCTGATAATGTGTGAAAGGCAGTGGTGATTGGTTCCACTGATGTGCCGGTCTATCCCTCCATGTTGTGGCTAATTGAAAAAAGTGCCGCAGGCCCCACCATGGGCCACTTGATGAGGATATTGATCTGATGACATGATAAACCAATTGGACGTGTTGGGAATGTGTCTAATTGGCAGTTTGTAAACATGCCTCACCATATCTGCCTGTGGAAATTTTAATTGTCATGTGCAAGTGAATGTAGGCTATGTATACATGTCTACAGGCCAACAGCCTTCATACACTTTACAGCCTCGTTTCATTTGAACATTGTGATGTTTAGCACCGTCTATTTTCAATAATCGATATCTGAAATCCAATCTCGAGAATATTTGATATCAATTATCCCATGTGTAGAACTTAAATAAAAGAAAAAAATGTAACTCCCATTTTTCCTACGGCTTTCTCTGGAGCATATTGCTCAAACTTTTTAAAACAAATCTTAGCACTGACAGTTTTATTTTGACAATAATCTGACACATTTTCAATATTTTTGAAGAAAAAATTTAACTCCCATTTTTCCTATGGCTTTCTCTGGAGCATATTGCTCAAACTGTTTAAAACAAATCTTAGCACTGACAGTTTTATTTTGACAATAATCTGACACATTTTCAATATTTTTGAAGAAAAATTTAACTCCCATTTTTCCTATGGCTTTCTCTGGAGCATATTGCTCAAACTTTTTAAAACAAATCTTAGCACTGACA